TCTCTCTCTCTCTCTCTCTCTCTCTCTCTCTCTCTCTCTCTCTCTCCCCCCCACCCCTCTCCTGCTTGTGCTTTGTCTCTCTCTGCCTCTCAAAAATAAATAAATGTCAAAAAATTTTTTAAATAGTTGATAGAAGTTCTTTGATATGTTTCAACTGGAAAAAATCATTTTATCTTTTAATGATACTCACTTTGAGAAAAAATTTTCAATTTTTAACATAATACATGTAATGACCTGAGGCAAATAATCTCCTCCGGTAGTAGACACACAAACAGAAATAGAGATGTGGGCACCTGGATGGCTCAGTAGGTTCGGTATCTGACTTGGGCTCAGGTCATGATCTCATGGTTCCTGAGTTCGGGCCCCTCATCAAACTCTGCACTGACAGTGTGGAACCAGCCTGGGATTCTCTCTGTCTCCCTCTCTCTCTGTCCCTGCCCCATTTGCATGTGCATGCTCCTTCTCTCTTTCTCAAAATGAATAAACTTTAAAAGAAAGGAAGGAAGGAAGGAAGGAAGGAAGGAAGGAAGGAAGGAAGGAAGGAAGGAAGGAAGGAAGGAAGGGAGAAAGAAAGAAAGAAAGAAAGAAAGAAAGAAAGAAAGAAAGAAAAAGAAAGAAATAGAGATGGGGCGCCTGGGTGGCTCAGTCAGTTGGGTGTCCAGCTTCGACTCAGGTCATGGTCTCACAGCTTGTGGGTTCAAGCCTGCATTGGGCTGTGTGCTAACAGCTCAGAACCTAGAGCCTGCTTCGGATTCTGTGTCCCTCTCTCACTCTGCCCCTCCCACACTCATGCTCTGTCTCTGTCTGTCTGTTTGTCTCTGTCTCTCTCTCATAAATAAAAAACACTAAATAAAGTAAAAAACAAAAAATTAAAAAAAAAAGAAATAGAGATACATACTCATTGAATACCCAAAGATAAGAACTCTGCAACATAAAAGCAGTCTCTTTTCTTTTCAAAATACATCTGGAATGGATAAAAGAATAACAGGAAAAGAACTGGGTGAAAACAGCCAGCCAATATATGGGTCTTCAATGAGAGAGGGTCATAACTGAGTTATAGAGATAAAGGGCAGGAAAAGAACTAAGGGACAATAGCAAGATCGGAGCATGGAAACGTAGGAGACAATTACAGTTCTTTTTTTTTTTTTCAATATATGAAATTTATTGTCAAATTGGTTTGCATACAACACCCAGTGCTCATCCCAAAAGGTGCCCTCCTCAATACCCATCACCCACCCTCCCCTCCCTCCCTCAGTTTGTTCTCAGTTTTTAAGAGTCTCTTATACTTTGGCTCTCTCCCACTCTAACCTCTTTTTTTTCCCTTCCCCTCCCTCATAGGTTTCTGTTAAGTTTCTCAGGATCCACAATTACAGTTCTTTAAAGATGAAAATCTGCCAGAAATAAATTCTCAGAGATCCAACTCAGTCGTGGTTTTTGACTGAGTACAACTTCATGTTACACCAGTGAAACAATTTATATACAAAGAGATATGCCTGAGGACCTGCTAACTATCACAAAGTTAACTGGTGGGAGGGTCCACAGAGGATCAAGAACACCTGGCTCCATTGAAAGTTATTTGCCTTAAATAGAACTTTTATTTGTTCTATATGTATTCATTATCTATTTCTGCAATAACAAATTACTGGAAACCTGGTAGTTTTAAAACACACCAACGTGACATCTCACAGTTCTGAAGATGAGAAGGCCAAAATGGGTCTTCCAAGCTAGAATCAAGGTGTTGGCCGAGCTGCATTCCTTCCAGAAGACCTAGGAGAGAATTCATGACCCTCCTTCTTCCAAGGATGCCTGCATTCTTTGCTTCATGACCCCTTCCTCCCTATTCATGGTACAGCACTCCAAACTCAGCAACCGTCATCACCTCTCTTCTCTGACTCTGTCCATCCTGCCTTCCCCTTGTAAGGTATATGCCGTGTGATTACATGGGGCTGACTCCGATAATCCAGGATAATTTGCCCATCTCAAAATTCTTAATCACATCGACAAAGTCCCTTGTGCCACGTAAAGTAACATATATTCACAGGCTCGGGGATTAAGACATGGACGCCTTCAAGACTATTATTCTGTACACTTCTCACAAGTGAACAAATAATTTTAGTGGGAAAAGGAAGACCTTATCACTAACCGGTGAATCAGATGGAGGAAATTTCAGAGAGCCTGTCAAGGACATGGAAGAGATATTAAAGGATGAAGGACAGATGGTGCATCCAGACCTTTCCTCTGAAACTACACATAAGACACTTCTAACTCCAAACACATCTAGGACCAAGTCTGACCAACTAATATCCACCAATAATAAGGAACCTATCCTGGGATTATCCCAAGATAATCAGCCAACCAACGTGTTCTGGAAAAACTGGGTATATACTTTAGTCCTGAGTGGTTCTCTGAATGACTTTGAGATGAGTTTCAGTCATGAATTTAGTAAATAATTTTGAGGACCCACAATGCCAAGCACCATTCCACACATTGAGGTTACAGCATAGGCAAGATTTTCTGCTTCTGTGAAGTTGATATTCATGTCAGAAAATTCAATTTTGGTCTGTTACATACAGAGTCTTTTCTCTAGAAAGGATCAGAACCCTTGAAGAAACACTGTAATTCATCAAATACTGGGGAGTCTCAAACACTCTGCTTCCTTCTAATTCAATGTCCACATTCACAGAATCTCTTCTCAGTATCCTGACTTTTTATATGAATTTTTACATCTTTGATATCTATCACACTAATTTTTCAGTGACTTTCTAATAAACATACATGGATTTTACCTCCCCAAATATATTATAAGACACTTGGAGCAAGTTTTGTGTATCACAGTTGTTTGTACTGACTGAAGAGCAGCTCAGAAATTATGTTGGCTGTATTTTGTAACTTACACATTCATTCATTCAAAAAGTATTTTTGTATCAGTCATCAGGACAATTTTAAGTAACAGTCACTTAAACCATTAAATGATTTGACTTAAAACCAAACCTCGATATCACGAACTATGAACTTACTAATAAATGTTTTTTCTACGGAATGAGCAGAAAAAGAAGGCAAAAAACATTCCTTATGATCACTAAGTAAAACAGTGTGTTAGCCAAAACTTTTCTGAGTCTTCTTTGGAAGGAGGAGTATGAAATAGGAATGCAATCAGAATATACTATGAGACAAAAATATAAGTGGTGGTTCCTCCAAATTGTAATGTGAACAGCAAAAAAAAATAACAAGTGAGAAGATAAAAGAAATACTGCTAAACCTGCCTATTAATAAAAATGTAAGGAATAGGGTTAGCAAAATCAGCAAAGGATTTATTGGGTCATTCAGGAAAAAAAACTATGTGATCTTTGTAAAGTTTACATAAATAGAGAGTCTAGCACAAGGGCAAAAAGGACAATTTTGGAGAAAAAGAAACTTACATTTTAAAAATCAGAAAGGAAATTGATAGAAATGACAACAAGGAAGGCAATAGGAAATTGGGTTTTTGAATGCAGCAAGAATTCGAGATGGTCAATTAGATGGGAAAATATGTTAAAAAGTAAGAAATGGCAGACTGGGAGCTTGTTCAGATATACAGTCTCAAAAGTCCCAATGCTCAGAATTCCTTCCTACTAGCACCTAGCATTAGAGTCGCGTTCTTTTTGACTAACATACTGCATCCCCTAGTTTTACTTACATTGCTAAGGGAAAGGTGCTTCATTAAGCTATTAGAGACAAACAAGGAAGTTACCAGATGGCTTTCCTCAGCTGAGATATTGTGCATGCAAGAAATAAGTTTTCACAGTGAAGAAATAACGGATTCATTTATGCCTCATTCAACACCAAAGAAGGATGAGCTTAGAATAGGTTACTGCAGAAGTCAGGGAAAAACACAGATGAGCTCAGGAGGAGAGGGCCAGACCCCAGGAATGAGAGCTAACGCTGAGTAAAGAAGGATAAACGGGTTCAAAGACAAAATGTACCTACTTTACATCCCTTAAAG